TCTCTCTCTCTCTCTCTCTCTCTCTCTCTCTCTCTCTCTCTCTCTCTGTGTGTGTGTGTGTCTGTCTATGTGTACGTGCGTGTGTGCTGTTGGGCGAGTGTGAAAGAGAGTCTAATTAATTGGATCGTAGTTAGATTGTGGCTGAACGCCACGTGCATGTAATCATTCTTGCTGTGTGCAACACTCTCCAAAATGCACGCATGCACCAACTAACCAACGAACCAGCTCATTTCCTTGTTGCGGTTACGATGCGACTTTTAACTTTTTTTCATATATAAATATAAAATCAGAGAATTTAATGTTCTCTGTTATTTTTTATGTATGCGGACAACTGTCAACTGATATCACAATTGAAATGTGAATGCGACCTTTGTTATCGCAAGCAATTTGCGCCGGTTTGTGTTATCGGTGGGAAAATGAGTATTTGAATTGTTATACAATTTATATGTTTTGTTGCTCTTGATTAGCCAAAATGATAAGCCCATGAATTTGAATCAAGTGGAATTATCTCTTATGCAAGAGCGTAATCAATAAAGATAATAACAGAATCTTAAACAGAAGAGGGAAAAATACAAAATGTTGCCGAAATGAAAAAAAACAAAAACAAAAAGTATCAACTGTGTGTGAGCATGTATGGGAGAAAGAATGATTCAAGTGTGTTTTAGCAGCAAGCAGCAACAGGCTGTAGCACTGTTCTATTTCTGGATATTTTTTTAACATTTCTGGTTCTTTAAACGACGTTTTTCTCTCTCTCTCTCTCTCGTGCGGGTGTGTATGTAATCATCTATATGAAATTTTTGTTTGTTGCTGCTGCTGCTAATGTTTGTCGCGCAAAAAAAAAGTCATGAAAAAGAATTCGATAAGAAACTTCGTCTATCTTAACGAACAATCGAGCTCAAAAACCTAAGAGCCGCACGATCGAATAGCGCTCGTTGTATGTTGACCGTAAATAAAATGTCACAAATCACCACTGATTATTGCCCATTAAAAAATGTGTTCATATTCAAAGAAGCAACCAGAAAGAGGAAAACAACTAGTCAATGCATGCTGTCTGTCTCTTTCACAACAACGGTGCATATATCCAATGCGTTGATAATGCGCATGAGCCACAATTTCCAAAAGAAATGTATTTATGATTTTTCTCGTTCGTTCCGTCGATGTCAATTCTCTCTCGTGCACCGTCTCGTCTTTTTTGTTCACAGTTCCATAACGATTGTTATTATCGTTCTTCGTTTTGTTCCTGAAAGGGAAAAAAAAACAACAAAAAACATTTTATTTTAAGAGCATTCGATTGACATTTTATTAGTATTGTCCCGTTCTGCTCTCGCACGCACACACAATACCATAGAGCATGTATTAGCAGCGCTCAAATTAAAGCATATCTAGACATATCACAAAACATTCAAGTGGACGCTGAGAGATCAAGAAGACAAGCAAACGAATGAACGAACGAGAGAAGAGAAAATACACACAACAAAAATAATAAAAGCCACAAACGTCATTTATTGAATAAAATCCATCCGCAGAATACAGGCAGTATTCAGTGATTGTTTGGAGTGTTTTGTATCAAGTAATAGATAGACAGTGTTTTAGTTTTGCTTACGATACACCCCAACAACAAAAAATTGTCTTCTTTAGTCGAGAAAAAACAGCAAACAAACTGTGTTAGTGGGTGAATAATCAATAGACAATACTCGAAATGAATGCTCAACTCTTTCGCATAATCAGCCGTTTGCCACCACGAATTTGTGAGTTTATTTCCCCTTCCAATTCTTGTAAAATAGCATTCAATCGACATTTTATAGTTCATTTTGGAATGCTGAAAATTATTGCTTGTTTTTTTTTCCAGTGCATCGGTATTATGGAACTGCATTGGTTGAACCGTACGATGGACCAAGTGTGAAAACGGCTATTCCTGGACCAAAATCAAAAGCGTTGCTAGGCAAATTGAATTCGTTACAGGCAAGACACTTGAAATTATTTTTTTTTTTCAACTTGCATTCGTTGATTACGTTACTGATATTATCGATAGAGAAGAAAAAAAAAGTCGAAAACATCTTTCATTGCCACATTGTCAACGGTTTGTAGAAAGAAACAGATGTGTTTCGTACACATGCGCAACAACACAGTATAACAATCATTTCAAAGTGCTGATAAGATTTGCAAATAGTATTCATTCATGAAAACATTGATAAAATAACAATATTACAAACTACTGTTTTTAGATTCACAAAAATGGAAACACACAAATTTATAAATCAGATGTTGAGAATTGTTGTTGCTACATTTCGATAGAGAGCACTCATGTGTATGTTTCGCTCTTTCTCTCTCTTTATGTGTGTGTGTGTGAGCAACGATGACTTGACTTCTGTGCAGTGCACCCAATGAATTCCATTTGGTCCACTATGTTCTCAATTAACATCAATTTGATCAATTCAAAACGGAATTTGAATCGTTTAGATAGCCTCGCTATGCGCCCCATGCATTACATAAGTCAAAAATTGTGCATATATAATTTGAAATGGCATTTATGTTGACACTTCTTGATCGATTCAAAGCAAACTGTTGATTTGATACGTAGAATGCCTTCTTGATTTTAATACGTAAATTTCTCATTCTCTCTTCGCATTTAGAATGCTGGATCGGTTCAATTGTTCGCTGATTACGATAAATCGCAAGGAAATTACTTGGTTGACGTTGATGGCAATGTTCTACTTGACATTTACACACAAATCTCATCGGTTCCATTGGGCTACAATCATCCAGAGCTGTTGAATGTATTCAATAATGAACATAATCTGAAAAGTGAGCAATCATTAAATGACATTGATATATATTCATTATTATGATGCATGGCATCTAATTGTAATTAACTTTGAACGTGTGTCAACTTTGATTTTTCCATTTTTTAGCGTTGGTAAATCGTCCAGCACTCGGTGTGTTCCCAGGTGAAGATTGGCCGAATCGCTTGCAATCGGTGCTAATGTCGGTGGCTCCAAAAGGTTTGCCAAATATAACAACGATGATGTGCGGCTCATGCTCAAATGAGAATGCGTTTAAGAATATGTTCATTTGGTGAGTTTTTTTTTTCGTTCAAGAAATGGAACTTTAACATCGAATGCATTTAATTATGTTGAAAATGTGTCATTTTCCAAAAATTAGGTATCGAAAAACGCAACGTGGTGAAAATGTCCCTTTCACAGCAGCCGAACAGGAATCGTGCATGGTAAATGCAGCACCAGGTTCACCTGATTTATGCATTCTCTCATTCAAAGGAGCATTTCATGGGCGAACAATTGGTGCATTGGCCACAACACATTCCAAGTACATTCACAAGATTGATATTCCGTCGTTCGACTGGCCAATCGCATCATTCCCACAGTACAAATACCCACTCGAAGAGAATGTACGCGAAAACAAAGCCGAAGACGATCGATGCTTGGCTGAAGTTGAAGACCTCATCGTGACGTACAATAAAAAGGGTAAATACGTGGCTGGCATGATTGTTGAACCAATTCAAAGTGAAGGTGGTGACAACGAAGCTTCACCCGAATTTTTCCAAAAATTGCAACGCATTGGCAAGAAGCACGGCGTTGGATTGCTTATTGATGAAGTACAAACGGGTGGTGGACCAACTGGTAAACTGTGGGCACATGAACATTTCAATTTGGACTCATCGCCTGACATTGTAACGTTTAGCAAGAAAATGCAATTGGGCGGCTATTATCATTCGGCCGATTTTAAACCAACACAAGCATATCGGGTGTTTAACACATGGATGGGTGATCCAGGCAAACTGTTGCTGTTGGAAGCCATTTTGAATGTTATCAAACGTGATGGTCTGTTAGAGAATGTTACGCATGTGGGCGATAAATTGAAAAAGGGGCTGATTCAAGCACAAAACGACTATCCAGCTTTGCTCAACTCGGCACGTGGCCGTGGCACATTCTTGGCTATTAATTGCCAATCGTCGGAACTTCGTGATGATATCATCAACCGTTTGAAGACGAAAGGTTTGTTTTGATCGAAATATTTTGTTTTTTGGGAAATGTTGAGAAATTGTCTTCTTAATATTCGTTTCGACTCTTTTTCTTTCTTTCCAACAGGTATTCAAGCCGGTGGTTGCGGTGACAAAGCCATTCGTTTCCGGCCAGCGCTCGTATTCCAAGAGAAACATGCCGATATTTTCTTCGATAAATTTAATCAAGTTCTCAAAGAAACGAAATAAACGAGAGATTCCAGAGTCAGGCGCTTTTACACAGCGACAGTATTTGGCCATATGATTTGATTTTCAAAGCAGCAACAGCACAATAATCTATCAAGAAAAAACGCAACATTTGTCTTGTCTTGTCTTGTCTTCCATAAAATATTTTACCGCAAAGAAATAAAATGACACAATATATCAAAGCAAAAGTTCAACTAAAATATATCATCAAGCATGTTTTTTTCATTAAAGAACAAATCACCGTACCACTGTGACTCTGTGCTATTTTTTTTATAACAGCATATGCTACTCATGACAGAAAATTGAACGTACTATCGGCAAGTAATGTGTATATCTCTTTTTTCAACAAATTCTAGCAAATTTACCCCCACACCAAATGAAATGAACCCTCAGTCAAAGCTATTCGCACTGAATTATAATGGTTTGATGTGTTTAAAAACTCTTGCAGGCAACGATGATGAAAGCTATGATAACTTTGACATTTTCAATGTTATGTGGAAATTATCGCCAGTTTAGGAAAATTGCATGAAAAGTAAGAAGAAGTTCATCGAAAGCAGGTAATGTGAATCGCTAAAATATTCATGCATATCATCATCATCTCTTGTATCAGAAACCCGGAGCACATTAGGTTAAATGTTTCGAAAATGCAATTTCGACATACGAACTTCGAATATACAAACGGATAATTGGTATCCATCAACATGCTACGCGCTAAAACTTTGTGACAAGCAACAAAACTGTTATCAAAAGTACCAAAGCATTTAAAAGTTTGTTACTTTTTGATAAGCACACTTCGGGTTAATCGGCCAACTCTATTATCGAAATGCGACTGAAGCAATCTAGAAACGGTTAGTGTTTCATTCCTGGATAATCTCGAATGAGCACTTAATTTTTGATTTGTCCAATGTGTTTTTCTTATCTAAATCGATGATCAAACGTTAATTTAATTCCCATAAAACTTTCCAACGAAGTGACACAATCCGCATTTTATTTTGGTTAATGGCCATTTAGCAAACGGATTTGATGACGAAGTCGTTTTGAAGTTGTGTGAAAATATTTTCTCCGGTGATGATTATTTGGAATGTCTTTTCGTAATCGTTTGACCGTATTCCCAAAAGAAATGTCATCCCTATCTCGCTTTTTTGGCTCAAATCAACGAACACATATACGAGCTGGTTAAATGTTCCTTTTTTGTTGTTTGGAAAACACAGTGTGATTTGCGCACACGGAAACATGATGATCAAAATAGAGCGTTAACTCATGCAACCAGGGCCAGTCATTCACAGCAACATCTAATTCCGTTTGATGAAAAAAGGTTTCACCTAACATCCTGTGTATTATTTAGATTACATAAAACATGTTGAAATATCAAAGTATTTTCTGCATACGATGGAACATGTCGAATATCCAGAGCATTCTCTACGTTGAAATGGAACATACCTCGTGTACATTTGCTTCTTTTCCCTCTTTTCTCTCTCATCTTTGGCCGTCAACTGGATACACGCAAAGATGAGATGAAAAACAATGCAAAAACAATGACGATGAACAATACGGAGAAGGAAAAAAACACGTACGGCGAACGGGATGATTCGTTGTGTTGAGTGAAAAAAGGCCGGAGGAAGGAGGATGTGAGCTGTGAGTGAATCGGTTGAATAGATGCAATTTAGCAAATCATATTGCATTGAAAAGTGAAATAGATCTCTGTTTTCCGTCCTTCATTTATACTCATTTGTTTGACGTAATTTCACTTTGAATATGCTGGGTTTCTTTTTTCTCCATCTCTCTCTCTCTCTCTCTCTCTCTCTCTCTCTCTCTCTCTCTCTCTATCTCTCTCGACTTGAAAGAAACACAGCATTGCAGGAACTTGGCGAAGAATGAATACATTGGCGGGCTCATGTTCATACATTCATTTATGCGCACATCGGCGGCTATTCGTGTGTAAAGGCTGTTTTTTTTTGTGTGTACCGTTGTTGTTTGTCTTAAAATGGGCCGTCAACACGTCAAGCTCATTTCATGTCGCGACAATAATTTGTGCCTTTGAATTATGACTTGAATAAAACCTTTCAAGTTACTTGTGCCATGAACATGGGCACCATACATTATTACTAACATGAAAAGCAACATAATGTTTGTCATTGTGACATTCGCATCATCTTCTCTCATTGGCGATGACTCTAGTCCCTCTCTTCCTCTCACCCAGTCTCTTTCGCGTCATTTTTGACTCTAAAAAGCAAAACGACTCTAGCTGTCGCAGCCCCATTTTTGTCTCTTGCATTTTTCATTTTGAAAATTGAACAAAAATCACATAAAACGAAACAATGAACGAATGCCAGCTAAACATTAAATCGGAGTGAATTTTCTGAAATGTTGAAAACGGCAAGTGAATCGCTTCCCTAGTTTCTCCCATCAAATAGATAATTTTACAAAGCCAAGAGAAAACATGATGTTTTCCCTTCCGAATCTATGAAAATCGCACTGCCAACTGAACATTTTCCACATGGATTCCTTTTTTTCGGTTCTGCATCGAGTGTGAATGTGTCTCTCATGCGATTTTCATGATGTCTGTTGCATTCCATGAAATTTCCGTCTTCACGAGACAGCGCATTTTTCGAAGGTACTACGTCTCGGATTGATACAGGTCGATACACCTAAAGCACCTGCAAACACACTATACTCCACATTAATCAAAAGTATTCTATTATCACGACAAGTTATGTTTTTTGTTTGGGATATTTCAATGGATTTTCAATTAATTCTGAACGACAAATGTTCAGTGTTCAATCAGTTTCAATCCAAACGAACGAATTGACAGCGAACACACTCCATCCATCATATTTGAACACTGAAATAGAAAGTGATTGGCATCTCAATGGATGTTTTGATTGTGTCTGCGGTTACATTAATTATAAAAAAGGGGTAGTTTTCAAAACAGTTATTTGTTTTGCGTACGAATTTTGCGCTCAACGAGAAATGAAGTTTAGTTAGTGGTGAGGGAAATGGAGTTGGAAAAAACCTGAAGAGAGAACCAAATGAGAGGTGAAAAACACATCATAAACAAGAACACTTGATGTCAGACCCAAAAATACACTTGGACGATCCTCAGACTGTTTAATTTGCCACAACATTGTGAATGTACACATGTCGTGTCTAATAATCACTATATTGCTACGTAGCGTGACAATGAAAAGTATTCATTGTGTGAAATCGGTTGCAGCATCGTCAAGATAATGAGGGCGTAGAGAACATCTAATTACAACCGTGTATGTGTGATGTCAGTACTAATCACTTTTACCATCTGCAACATTGGTCTATCTACTATCTCATATCGGGTGTATATTTGTTGTGATTGATGCTAGTCAATCAAAAAGTCTTGACACGGTTCCAACTCCAGAAAATATTTTTCGCAGTAGCAATGTTGCTCAGTTGCATGTTAAATTTAGAATATTAAACGAATGCGAAAGCCACTGGGCTTCTATGAGAAATAAATGTAAGTATTCGACATACGTCTAATGTGATGTCACATTCGAATGTTTGTCGAAGCCGTGCTTATGTTTACACTGATTTATTATGGCAGAATCGCGAGCGTATGGATTTAAATAAGAATAAATGCAAAAATGCATTTTTTTGAATATTCTGCCATACGTTGAATTTTCTATATTGCGCTAAAATGTGAAATGGTTAATGCTATCAGCTGTTGTGGAATATAAATAGTGAACAGCAAAACGTGCTCAGACGTAACTCAATTCAAGCACTGTTTCGCATTTGATGCCACCCAATGAAATATACCCACTCTCTCTCTCTCTCTCTCTCTCTCTCTCTCTCTCTCTATAATTATTATTAATTCGATAGCACAATACAATGTATTCAATCAAACACACCGAATATTTGCGATGTATGCAGTTCATTTGTATTGGTTGCCGTCTGTGTCAATCGTTGCCACTGTGCATGTACATAATTCGCAAGGCGACGAATTCACCAATTTGAGTATATTTTGATTTCGGTTCGTATACTATTGTGGCCAACCAGTTTGGATGAATGCTCTGTCAATCTGAAGAACTGGTTAATAATGCGACGAACTCCGTGTAGTTTGTGTGCTGGCCGGGCACTTATGTACTGAATATCTACCGCTTGCTCATGCCGTGTCATGGCAGGTTCATGGTAGGTAAGAAGAAATTATTTTTTATCTTGAGTGCAAATTAAAATGGAAATATAAATGCGTTCGTTGTGCATTCATACCAACGACAGTTAGTATTCTTGGTGCTTTCACCGTTTCATTTGGTTTGTTGAAAATTTTTACATATGTGCATGTGTGGTATGACGCATAAAAGATTATTTTTTATTTTGATCAAATGACTCGTTTTAAATGTAACTTCCACAGTGTTTTTTGTGCTTCTATGAAAGTCAGACATGGAAAACTTTTGGAATTGCATTGAATTTATATAGGAAATATTAACATAAAAGAAAAATCACGTTTTCGAGTAGAGTTCGGTAATTATACCTCTACCGCGTTTCAAGGTAAGTTTTTCTTTGATTTTGAATTGTTGTCGATGTTCAAGCTCACATATTTCCATAGTTTTCTGAATAATTACCATAAAACATCGAAGCATTTCGATTAAAACCGAACAAAATGCATACACAATTATTTATTGAACATATAAAAATTGAAACGAGGACTCATTATCTTTGTGGAAAAAACCAATGTTTGTTTACATTGGTATGAAATCGAATAAAAACCACCTATCAAAAAGATTCTCAAAATATTTGCATAAAAGGGTGAAACAAAATTCTGCCGTTAGATGAATTAGGAACACTGAAATGTTGTATACATAGTATTTTATGTTTAGTTTCGATCATTTCACTTCGACAATAATAATAACGAATAATATTGCGGATAAATGGTCAAGTCAAATATGATTTTTCAGTGATAGTATCTAATAAGGAATGTAATTTTCAATTCTCAGTAGCCCCTAGCCTCAGATAAAGTATGTCATTGTTTTTTTTTACATCGAAACACCAGAAGAAATTGCATTGATTTTAGACAATATTAACATAAAAGAACACTCACATTTCCGAGCAGAGTTCGGCAATTTAGCCTCTCCGCGTTTCAAGGTAGGTTTTTCTTTAATTTTTAATTGTTGTCGGTGCTCACATATTCTCATGGTCTTCAGCAATAATTACTGCAAAACATCGAACCATTTCGATTAAAACCGAACGAAATGCATACACAGCTTTTAATCGATTGATTTTAAAATTATTTGTATTTTTAATCAAAAAATGAACGCTATCAATTTGTACACTTAGTTTGAAACTACGACTGATGGTGACAGCATGGGCAACAATTGTCTCGTACAATAAATATATTCAAATTGACAATAAGGTGTTCTGTTTTAATCTACAAAAATCAATTGATATGAAACGAATTCATTACTATTAGCAATTCTTACATCAAAATTTTTAATAAAGAAAAAATATTATTGAAAAAAAATTAAATTGAAAAATCAGCCTGAAAAAAGAATTTTATTTTACAAAAACAAAATTGCCCTTCAATTATTTTTGTGATATTTCAATCATAGAAATCTACGGAGAATTTGTGAATAGAAAAAGTAGTGAATAATAAAGCAATAGTGGAATCGAGCACAAAACGAAACTTTACCAAGAATCATGAAACTCTTTCAACTATTCCGAAAGTATTTGGCCATTGTGGGAACTGAGCCACTCCAGGCATTTCAAAAGAATCATTCAATGATCATGTTCCTCAAGAGATTATCAGTTCTTATTGTCTTGATAGCATGCTTAATATTTTCGACTGTTTTTTTTGGATATGAAGCCAAAACGATTGGCGAATATGCAGATTCATTTTATGCGTCCGCGGATTTGACTATCACTCTTCTTCTGTTTGCAATAATTCTTCGGAAAATGGATAGCCTATTTAAATGGTTTGATGACTTTGAAAACATCATTGGACAGCGTAAGATAACATATACTATCAAGGGGCAATCCACTCAAAAGTAATACATAATACCTGCGAAGTAATACGAAGTAATACTAGGTAAAAGTGGTATTACTTTTGATAAAGTAATACTCCTTTTAAAAATAATACTATTGTTTGAAAAAAGTAATACTAAAGTAATACAAGGTAATATTTACATTAGTATTACTTAAAGTAATCCTAATACACAGTATTACTTTTGAGTGGTTTGCCCCTCGTATACTATTGCTTTTATTATACAAACCTACCACTATAAACGTCAGCGATCAACATCAACAGAGACACTATAGCACATAGCATTAAACGCACTATTGCTTCACTCTTTGTACACACTTTGACATCACTTATGCTTTGGCGCGCGTCGTACGTTTTTCAAACGTTTATGTTTGATTCAAGTATTTCACCGATTTCACCGAATTTTCTTACTCAATATCAATATATTCATTCTTACTTGGAAGTTTTTTTTTATTGCAATGATGTTTTAAAATATATTTTGTCGAGAAGTTTTTTTTTTCAATTTCCAAAATTAAATGAAATTAAAACACATAGCATGAAACGTATTCATAGTAGAAATGCATATGTATTAGTTTGTACTTATTCATTATAATGTATTTAGATAGGACGCTAGCGCGGCCTGATACAAACTGTTTTTTTTAACAAAATTGAATATTGTTTGTGAAATGGAGCAGGAATGGAGAATCCGAAATCAAAGTCAACATACGTAAAATTGAATGAAAATATCGAAAAGTGGACCGGTGTATTTTATTCCATCATTGTGGAATTGTCAGTTATAGCAGTTTTGATGCCGCATCTCATTATAAGTTTCTATCTTTATTTCGCAACCGATCTTGGGCGCGAAGCCTTCAGCCTACCATTTCAAGTCTGGTGTGTATTTCATTTCTTGTAACGACTAAAAACATCAAATTTTCTGCACAATGTCTGAAAATGACTTAACATTTGATTTCCATCATTTCTATTGTCATTCATTTTATTAAGGACTCCATTTGACTGGAGAACACCAATTGGATATTTGATCATTTTTACATTCGAATGCTCAGCGGCTTATTATACAACTCACATGGCTGCCTGTTGTATTGGCATTTTAGTTGCATCCTGTTGTATAATATTCACGTTTTGCAATGAGATCAATAGCGAAATTCATGCCTTGGATGAGAGTAACAAAGCCGAAGAATATTCAGTGGAACCTAAGAAAAGAGTTGCCGATATGGTTGAATTTCATGCGACAGCTAAACAGTTAAGTCAAATTGATAGTATTAAATTGTCGAATCAGTTTTCAATCCGACCTGTTTCACTTTTCTCAGACTTGTTTTCGATATGGACGACATCTATGCGTTCATCGTTATAGGTTACTTTCTTTGGAGTCTGTCAACTATTTGCTGCAATCTTTTGCTAATTCAAATAGAATCAGTTGAGTTTTTTTCTTCTGTTTTTTATGATATGATTTCAACCAGACAACCATTTACTTTCCATTTCAGGAACGAGGTGAAGGTATCGATCCACTTCAAATGATTAAACCGTTATTTCAAACATTTTGGTCATTCGCCGTGCTTTTTCTTATTTGTGAATTCGGACAAACGTTAACCAATCATTTCGATCAACTAAAAGACGTCATCTATGACTGTGACTGGACTGCATTCCCGAAAGATATGCAAAAGATATTGCCGATCATCATCCAGAATACTCAACGGCCAGTTGTTCTTCAGATATGTGAAGATTTTTCATGTAGTCGTGAATCGTTTAAAAAAGTGAGTTTCCTTTCTGAACATGTGTATTTTTTTTATGCAATTTAATTATTCTAATTTATCATTTTGTATTAATGTATTTCGTATGTTGTATGTGTACATTAGGTGGTCAACGCGGGATTTTCGTTTTTTATGGTGTTCCGTGAATTTCGATGAGTTGCCAATGTCTCTGGCAACTGAAAAGTTTGATTCGTTCTAAATTTACTTTCAAGAACTTATCATAACATTCTTTATATTGAATTAACTGACATTTTGCCAGTGAAATTATTATACTATTCATTTAGTTAGAGTTTAATGTAAGAAAATTATAATACTCAAAAGAATATATGACAAATCAAGGAAATTCCCCAGTGAACAATTCTTAGGGGAATTATGTGTAGGTTGACCCGCACCAATCATTTTAGTCATAACTTTTTATGGAATGAAGATAAATGCACACTTGATATACCATTGGAAAGAGAGCCTAAAAAGCTACAATTTGATCAGGAAATTCATTAGTTTTTGTTGTAAAAACAAAACAGTTCGGTCAATTTTCTAAGAGGTCTGATTTTTGGCAACAAAATTTTTTCTTTGTAAGTTGACCCACCCAATTTTTTTTTAGAAAAACATGCAGTATAAACACTCAATATATGAAATTTCATTTAATTTCGTTGGATTTTCAATCGTTTTCGGTTTTTAAAACTACGAAAAACAATGAAAAAATGTAGAAAAATATAGAAATAGTAAAGAAAATACATATTCTCTATTTTTTCATATTTATCGATTCTTTCGTGTTTTTCAAGTCCGAAAACGATTGGAAAATGATTAAAATTCAATGAATCTCGTATATTGAGTGTTAACGCTGAATAGTTGTCTCATTTTTCTGATTTTTTTTCGGATCAACTTAAAAAATTGGTCAACCTTTCAATATTCACGGAAAGAATTTCGCCATGTAATGATATGTGTGAAATGACTTCGGATTATGAAAATACAAACATGTGTTTTAAGATTGCTGAGCATCTCAGCATTTCGTAAGG